TGCATCATCTAGACCCAGACCAGGGTAGGGTTGGGCCCACTTGTTTATCACCTACATACAGCCATCTCTATGTGCAATAGTAGACACTAGTAGCTTCTATTGGGAGTGCTTTGGTATAAAGAATAAATTCTTTAGAGCACTCCGACCATGTAAAATAACCCTCGCAATACTTTTCTGACACCAAAAGAACTTTTTAAAAAATGACAGATGTATAAAACTTCATCTTTTTTAACAGGCAAAAAACAATTAAGTACATCTATCATCCTGCAAGACACAATTTGCTCTACTTAAATAACAAAGATAGTCTAAACTACCAAATTCAACTATTAAGTACATACCTAACCAAAATGCCATTGTTACCTCAATTTTTCTGTACAATTCATAATATTACAGCAGAATTTAATACAGAAAATTGAAATAAATGGCCTTTTTGGAAAAGAAAATAAGGAAAAAAATTGAAGGGCAAAGAAGTACCTGAAGCCTGAATCTCAGTAGCAACCTTCTTTGTGGGGAGGCCAACTGGACCATAGTCCCCATGAACTTCAACCATTTGCATTGATCGAAAAAATGATGTTGGTTTCTTCGAAAGATAACTTTGAGCGGATTGACCATGAACACTTATGCTCCCTCCATTTGTAGTAGCCTCCTTATGACTATTGCAATTAGTTACACCATTATGGTGCTTAATATCAAAAGAATCACCCTTTACAGCATTAGTGTATCCATTTTGTGATTTGTTTTGAATTTTTGAACTTACAAATAAATCATGCTCCTCTAGTTTTAATCTTTGCTTGGGTTCTGCCAAACCCTTAACAAGGGGAGAAAGGAAATCAAAGAGAAACCCAACAGCTAAACTTGACCTGTAGCCAGATTTTCTGATGCCTTCTTTTGGAAAAATAAACATTTTAAGGATTTGAATAGCTTCAAGTAAAATTTCAGGGGTAAGGGACTTTCCTTCCAAAAACTCCTCAACCTTCTTTGCCCTCATAGCATGTCTAGTCCCATATGCACCAAAAGCCAACCTGAGACTACCCAAAACAAGGTCCCCGTTGGATTCATCCACTGAAACCTCAGCCATAAAAGCAGCATTAAGATAGGCCAAGGCACCTCCTAGTGGATATGGAGCAGCTCGATAAGTCTCGAACATCAATCTTTTCTCTCTTTCTGATCCATTTCTACCATTGGTTTTAGAGGGAGAGTGGAATTGATTCCAACTTGGTATTTGAATGCTAATGAGTAAAGTTTGTGAATCACATGGAGGCGTTTCAAGGAACTCCTCTAATGTTAGAGAGAGAGTTTCTCTAGGGGTCTGAATTGTGACTGATGAACCAGCACCAAGGAGAATAGTTGCTATATCTGAAGGAAACTCATCTCTTTGGGCTATAATTAAGTTACCCCCCAGAGTAGCTGTATTTCTAATAAATTTTGAAGCAACTATGTTCATATGATTTGCAATTTTCTCGAAAATCAAGCTTGATGCAGCCTCAAGTGAAACTTCCTCATCTAAAGCTTTAATGGCCTTAGAAATAGTCACACAAGCCCCAATTTCAATCCCTAAATCATCTCGTCTTATTACCAAAAGCTCAGGAATATGCCTAATATCGATAAACCTACAACAAGTCTCAGGTCTTTTATAGATACCTGAACTGGTATTTCCGGCAACTATTTTCACTTGAGCTCCATTCTCATTTGCTTCTGATGCCAATACATTGAGAAGCTCTCTCATACTCGATGGGGATGCCCAAGTCCTGTCTCGCAGTTCATCCATTCCATTCTTATCCACAAGATTCAAATTTCTCTCACTAAATTCATAAGTTAATTTGGTTTCAGGCTTGAGAAATTCAGGGAAGGTACAGACTTTGTGTTGATTATAAGGAGGTAACTTGTTCACATCTAAAGGCTCTCCCTTTTTGCTAAAGGAGTTGAAACCAAGATCCTCCATGTCTACATCTCTGCAAAAGCTCTTACAAGTGTCGATAATAGGTCTATAACCGGTGCACCTACACAAGTTTCCAGCTATAGCCCTCTCCGCCTCAGAAACAGTGAGTTTCGAAAACCCATTTGGAGGCTTGGATCCAGAGGTTTTATCCGCGTTAATGAGCGCTGAGAAGAGAGAGATAGACATTCCAGGAGTGCAAAAACCACATTGAGACGCATGGAAACCTGCAATTCTCTGATGAACAGAGTGATATCCATCTCTGCAATTTCCAAGTCCTTCACTTGTAGTGATTGAACAACCATCTAAACTACACAGAAGGGTCAAGCATGAATTCACTGTGAAATCCTCCACATCACCATTTACAGGGTTATACTTTGAAAGAAGCACAACACAAGCTCCACAACCTCCTGCAGTTGGAAAAAGCATTACAAATGTAACAGGGAAAACAAATTATTATTTCTCTCCGATTTCAAAATAACCCAAATGGATTTTATTGGCAATTTCAATACATATCAACTAATACTTACATTGGTTAAATCTCAATATTATAAAAAAGAACATACCTTCTCTGCAGACAAAAGAAAGCAAAACAGAAGGCCGTGTCTTCCCACTTATCAAAATAAATAACAAAATGTGTACATATATGATCTCTTTAGCTGTGGGGATTAATATAATTACACAAAATTTCATTTCCTAGATGACCCACATAGACAGAAACAATCTGAGCTCTTTGTACTGTTTTCTCTCTGTAAGAAAACGCTCAAATCCTCTCTCTAAAGAAAAGCTCATATCCAATATATAAATTATGAAAAGTATCTACTGACCCAGAAAAAGGAAACTAAAATTTACAGGAAAAAATTCACTTAAACATTTAATTTACCAGCTAAAAACTGGCAACCAAGATATGACAATCAGTAAAAAATAACTAAAAAAGAGCACATTAAACAGAGTTTCCATTTTCCAACGTTAACCAAGGCCTTAATCTATGATTATAAGAGAAAAAAAGTAAAAAGAAAAAAGAAAAAGAAAAAGAAAAAAAGAGAGCAGGGAAATTACCTTCTCCACACCCTAGTTTGGCTCCTTTGTAGGGTGTTTCGGTGCGAAGAAATTCTAACAAAGTGGTAGATGGGTGTATGTTAAAGACCTCTTTCTTCTCCCCATTCACTGCAAATACCAACCTCTGCTTCATACTCTCTCTCTCTATCAATCAATGTCTCTCTCCTCTCTCTCTCTGCAATTTTCAGAAGAGAAGCTTTGTAGGTT